CAGAAGAAGAAATATAAAACAAAACATTTGTCATCTCTGGAATGCAGCATAAGTTTACAATAAAAATAAAGACCATATTAGTCCATTCAAATAAAAGAGCAACCTTTGATTGCATTTTTTATATGTCAGATCCTACCCACTAAATGCATCTGTCTATACTTTCATATAGGAGACTCATAAAAAGACATTTCCAGAAATGTTATTGCTGAAACTTATGATTTATGACAGGCTATTACGTCAACATATTCCATTTAGCATTATGAATACCATTTACATCTCATGAGTTGATAATGTGGCACCAATTACCAACATTATGAATTGCTATTACATGAAAAAAAAGATCAGAAAATTCAGGTTCCTGCATGCAACAGCAGCTTTGGCATTGAACTGTGACATTTATTCTGGGATGAAGAAGAACCATTGGGGTGTAATAAAGAATGAACTAGATTCAGCTGTGATTTACACCCTCCACAGCCTCGCTGAAGTCCACTGGATTTCACATGTTGTAATTCAGTGCTAAATTTAGCCCAAAGTAGACATACATACCTATAGTTTTAGCACTGTTTTGAGATACTCAAAAGTTTCACTCTTTTACTCCCAGAAGGTTTGGATTACAGTCATCCCATGTTTAGAAATGGCTGTGTCTAGGAGAACAGTGGTTTTCTTTCACATTCCTGATGAGGCAAAAGCCAGCAAATACTAGCTAATTTTTGTTTACTTATGTGCACCAGTTATAATAATAGCTTTGAATAGAAGGCCATAGAATCAGTAAAATGTGCCAGACTCATCTGAGAAAGGCATCTCCATTCACTAAAAAAATAACTAAACCAAACCCCCCATAATTAATGCTGTTTTGTGTATCCACCCCATATCAATGTAGACCCCACCACATATCAATTAAGGACAAATAGGTAATTCGGTTTAGATACCAATACACTTATAATACAAAAAATTTACATGAAAATACAGCACTTAAAGATCTCTTACAGAAGAATTACATTAATATCCCTACACTACTTGAGAGACTGAAATTATCAAGATGCAAACATATTTCAAGATGAACAGACTTAGATCTGCACTACACTTTTTGCATTACATTTCCAAGTAAGCATGCTACTATACCTGACTTAAAAAGAAAAACAAAAGAAAAAACTAAGAGGACTCCTCAGAAACCATGACTGAAACCTGGATCACATACAAAAGCAATCCCCTGACGCTATGATAGATACATAAATGTTCTCACAAGCTGTGTCATAACAACAAAGCAGCAAGAACATACATAACGCTGTCCATCGTGGTTTTGTGGAAGAAGGCAAGAGGTCCTTAATAGAACCCAGTTAATATATGAAAACTACTTCAGAGTATACAGCACTCACTGATCAATGAATGGAAAACAAAATATTTATTTCTGTACAGTTTGTACAGTCATATAATACTCTTTCGACAAAGAATTTTCTCTGTAACACATGCTGGCTGTCCAACCAACCTGTACTGAAGTCAAGAGAAGGCTATTTTGCTTTGAACAGGTACTAAGTTTTTTCATGTTAAAACATACAACTTCAGAAAGTGCTTTTTTGGTCAATATTGGTTCATAAAATTTGTCTCCCTCTTATATGAGTTCACGGCTGACTGATAAGAACAGATATTACAACTTAGACTGCTAAAAGATTCCATTTATTTATGATTACTTGTGCAAGTACTTCCTGAAACAAGTTGAATTTGTTTAAACTTCACACTTTTTTATATTTCTCACTGTCATCATTAGGATGAAAGATGAACAGCTTGATTTTATTCAATTTGAGATTTAAGCATATCAATTAAGCTTTCATCTAAGATTACTAACAGACAAATAAAAATAATTACAACTAAAATACAATCATAAGCTATTCAGGTTAGAAGTTCTGGTTTGTGCTAAGTCTCAGAGAGTCAGACATGCAATGACTGTACCAGCTGTTTTTAAGGTCAGAGCACTCAGCACACCTTGTCGGTTAAAGTGGCTGTTTCATGACCAAACCATGGTCCTCAAAAATAAACGTACACAGAGTACTGCTCCAAATATAATACCTGTATTACAAAATTCTGCTGCAAAACGAAGTACTGGTAATGTTGAAAATGAGGTCTGTGCTCTGGAGAGCACTGCTCTGATGTAGTACAAACCTGCTGTTCCTGTAACATAGACTCTCACAATACACAAACACTCATGTCACACATCTTATCTATGGGAAAATGTTTTCTTCAACAAATCTTGGTAATTTTTTTTAATAAAAAAAAAAAAAAAAAAAAAAAAAAAAAAAAAAGAGTCCTTTCTCTCCTAGTGATTCATGATTCCTGTGAAAGCAAGGGTTGCTATCCAGCCTCCAACAATTTGGGGGTGGGGAATAGGAAATAAATCATGAAAGCTTTACGTTAGTGCTTCTCTTCTTGCTTTGTCTACCAATATCTGTCAATGATGAAATAACTCCCTGAACACTCAGAAGGAAAGTTTTGTTGCTTGAATCAGGTGATGGCACAAGAACAGAGCTCTTCGGCAAGTACAGCACAGTCCCTGTCATTCTAGTCACCAGCTTACCCAGTTCAAGAAGACAGAGAGCTATGGCACTAGCTACTATCTTCTCTATATGCATCATATAAAAAGGCTAGTATAGACTGATCATGACAATGAGAATTAGGGGATATTTATTCTATAAATGCACAATTCAGGTAATATTTGGCTATTACAAAAGTACCACTGAGATCTGTTAGAATTCCCCTCACAATCCTATATATTTGAGACTGTTGTTTATGTAGCTCCAAGGTAAGAGATTGGTATAAACTTGTAATTATTGCAAACCCTACCAGCACAGCTGCAAGGAAAGTCATTTGGATATAGAGAGAATTGCTAGGGAAGTCACAGCACTCATGTAGTTAACTCCTAAAAATATCCAGTGTGAATGGAAGAAACCCAAAGCCAGTCCCACCAAACACAAGCATGGAAATTGTATCGGAGGTCTGGGAATAAAATCCAGGAAATACAATAATTATTCCTAAATGCAGTTAGTAGACACAAATGCCGATACAGCCAAGCTTTTCTGAACTTCAATTGGCATGAAAAATATCTAGTTTTCCCTTATTCTTGACAACTGCTTAACTGAAATTTGTGTTTTTCCTAGGATACGGGAATGGAAATGTCATGTGCATTACTATGAATAAAATATATGGATGACAGTATTTAATTCTTCTGGTTGATCAAGCTCTGAATAATTATTTATAATTAATAATTTAATAATTAATTCTCATTATTAATAATTAATATTATTATTTCTGAATAATTATTCAGAATAAATGCAAATAATAATTGCATTTCATTGTGTCTGACAGCTTCTTTCATGACACTTTCTTCTTCTTGAGGTAAAGAGAACAGCAGACAATCAACTGAAGAGCAAAGCAAATGTCCTTGAATAAAGTGAAATTCCAAGAATTAGGTGAGGTCAGTAAGAATTTTCTTATGAAAAAGTGAAAACAGAAACTAATGAATCCAGACCTCTCAAGTGATCTCAGATATCTGAGGCTATAACTTGACAATTTGAACATAAAATCAAGATGTCAACACTGGCAACGGCAATAAATATTAGTGAAAGAGTGTTTAAGCACTCTGAATCCAAGCCAAAACACAAAACACAACCGGTCTGTTTCTAAAACGTGGCAGGTTGAGTTTCAAATGTTATCAGAAGTCATTAGGAAAAAAGGAAAAAAAAAATTGTATGGTCACCTAGACATAACAAAATCTAAAAAACCCAAACTTCCTTCCCAGTTGTGATAAATCAATCTACAATCAAAGAATATTGAAATGGTCTCTCAAATTATTTGGAAGAAGCTAGGCAACATTACTAAGCAGCTCGTACATACAGATCTCTTGATAGACATCTTACAATTATCTACACAAGAAAATATGCCAGTGCTTAAAGAGGAGCACAGGCTATGGATTTTAGCCTGATCTTTCATCCGGTTTTGTAGCCTTTGTGAGTAAGTGTATCTTCCTTTTGCAATCAAGCTACATCTGCTGATATTCTGGACTACTTACATTATCTCAATTCATCAGGCTTTAACAAATAAAAGTACTAGACATGCAAGGATACAGTGACGCTATCATTTTGTGTTGGTATAAGGTATGGCAGATTCATTTTAGTTCCAGCTTTGATATTGATACCAAAGCAAGCACTCCTGTTAAACAGACAAAACATTTATGCTTACACTAAATGAGTTTACACCTAATTATTAAAGCAAGGGCTCTAGCTCAGTGTGCATCACGCTTAGAGATCTTTAGAAGAAAACATGAAAAAATAATTAGACCTCCTAAATATTTTCTACATTACAAACAAACAGGGAAAATAGCAACAAAGCTGTCAGTAAAAACACACTGCATCTAAAAACCTCTCCACCTATAAACTTATGTTAATCATAAACAGACCATGAAAAGAGAATAAGCAAGCCAGAAGAGCAACATACATAACTGAATATTTAGAGGTTTGATATCCTTTTGGAAAGCATACCATTGCAGATTGCTACAAATTCAGAATAGCTTCTTGAAGCTAAGAGATATTTCAAGTATATTAAACATTGTTATCTAAAATAGCTTCTCCAAGAATAAGAACCCAATGAATATATATAATAAATACAGAAGTCACTAACTCTTCAGAAGTTCTAAAACCCTCCAGCATATCCTTTGACGTGTGCAGAAAGAAAAAGAAAAAAAGTGTGTGCATTTCATATATATATATGTATTTTGTATATTTTATATTTATACACACACATACCCCCAAATAAAGAAAATACTGTGAAATCCAACATAAGCCTTACAATCCAGAATGCTTTGCTTTGTACATCTTATAGAAGGCTGCCCATTTCTACTTAGTTAATTAGGTGCAATTATTCATAAGTACTTCCTTGTATGATTCTTGATATTCTGAAGAATTTATACAAGATATTTATGTCTCCCATGGAACATAAGCTAAATTACTTACCTTTCTTCCTGCTAAAAGCACGATTCATGTTGGAAAAAAAAGAAAAAAAAAAAAATCTATCCAGTCAACGATGTTTCTGGGTTTGGTTTTTTTCCCTCACTTTAACCTGCAGAAAAATACACATAAGAAAATAGAAAAGTCCATTATTATATTTGAAGTTAGCTCATTATCTTGATATTAAAGACAATGCAAACGATTTCAAGAATTCTTAAATAATTCAGAGAAATACAAGGGGTATGTGCTTTGCTGAGGAAGAAACTTCAGAACTGAGAAGACTGATGTTTGGATGCCCAGTGGTACTTAATACAAAAAGATATTTTAAAACATTCTGTGAAGCTCTTCTCACTGAGATTTCAGAGACACAGAGCATATCGCATTATACATATACACGAAGACAAATACTACACATAAATAGGTTGGAAAGAAAACTTTAAAATGAATGTTTACTAGAAAACATAAAAACATTCAGTTCACATTTACACTGCCCTGTTTTGTGTCATTTAGGCTGTCAGATTATTTCAAGATATGCTTTCATCTTCACATGGGCTTCACATGGAGGGGAGGCGGGTAGATCGGATGCAACACAGACGGACACAGAATAAAAAAAGTCACAATATAAAGACTCCTCTTCATCCAGGGATTCAATACTGAAAAAACTGCCTTCTATCAATGCAACTATCTCCTTACTCTGATTACATCACACTGTACAGTAACTTCTGTATTTTCTTCACTTAAAACCACCAATACACTCTTAAATTATTGTCTTTATTTTTGATTCACAGTATTATTTTAGAACTTAATTCTTTACCAACATTTTGCAGGGAAAAAATATAAAATCTAATCCAATGCTTTTCAAAAACATCCCATTGTAGTACAGATTTTCCCTTTTCAACCACATGTAAAGATATTCCCACCATTTCCTTCCATTCTGTTCAGATCTTCCAGCCAAAAGCGGCATCAGTGCCCTTTTGCTTTATTTGTTCTCAAAGTAGTCCAGTTAAAGCGGAAAAAAAAGGGGGAAAAAATTTTATAAAAGGTCAAAGCACTTAGTATCAGATTATCTTCAAAATCAGTTAGAATTTTACCTTTGCTTTGAATAACAAGAGAAGTTAAGCCAGTATTTCAAATGTCAGCATCAAGATGACTGACAAATTAATTTAAGATACTTTATGCAGCTCATGAACACTTTTTGTGGTGCTTGCCCCTCTTTTTAATATAATTAAGTTCAATATCAATTAAAGCAATTATACACCAATTTCCATGTAAATAGTTGATTTTTTTCAGATTAGAACATGTGGGCAATTACAGTTAAAAAACACCTCCATTTTATCTTCAAATAATCACTGATGTGGTAGGACTACTTTTCCATACAATCCTGTGAGAATGAAGGAATAATTCCCGCCTTGCCTAAACTACAGTGTAGTACCCTAGATAGGTAACCAACCAACATTTGCTCTTTAAAGTACGTGTACTGGATCATTTTTGTTTTACAGATTTTATTAAGTGTTTAAGAAGGGAGGATATGATGAAGTAAGCAAAAGTATCGGATATACCATCCCACTAGTTACTCTGACACAAAGTCAAGTAACAATGCCTTTGGTACACTTGATAGTGGTTCTTACAGCAAAACTGCAGAAGCCTTACACACACCCACAGGCATTCCTGCTGGCCGCCTTCCCTACCACCCAGACTACACAGAAAGCTGTGGATACACCGAGATCTGTGAAACCAGGACATACCCATGAGGGCTCTGAAGCCCTAAGAATCATTTCAGCAGCATCCCTAGAACAGGCAGTGGCGTTACTGGGGTAACTGGTGTTCCAGTAAGTAAGAGCTCTCCCGTGAGGGAGTTTCACCAAGAGCTGCCAACGCCTCTTATTTCAGGGAAGGCACAGAGTAGGACTTTCAACAGTGTAATGATGACAATCAATCCAGTTTAAATGAAGTAACAGGCAGTGAAGAACATCAGAATTTCAGCTTTTCAAATAACTGACAAGTGTGTTTAGCTTAGAGGTTTACTTTCACAGGGAACACAGGCAGCCTATTATATATGCTTAAGGATATATAAGCAATGGCAGCACTTTTTTCAGTATGCTCTCCCTAGTCAGTGAAGAAAATAGCTTTGAGTGAAAAGAGAGTTATGATTTCCTTCTCATATACTTCTGGCAGTTGTATTGCACAGCACTAGACCAATCACTTGAGTTGTCTCCACGATGGGATCATAGCACATCTTTTTTCGGTACCCTTTTATAAAATTGTGTATTCCTGTCCTCATCCAAGAGATTACTAAGTAACATATTTGAGATGGCTTACTGAGTAGAGGACATCCTAAATAGAGAATATGAACGCACATCATGAGGCTGTTGTCTGGCCACATCTCCAGAGATCATCACTGAAGTATTTTGTTTAAAACACAGTGTAACTAAGTAGGTGCTTTTTCCTCCTGCATAAGGATACATTACCATTAAAGTAATCTACACTAATAAAAGACAAAATGTATTGATTACTTACTTAAAAATGGACAGTATTTGACAAAAGTGTGTTCATCATTTCAATTCCAACAAAGCAGCAATAGAACAAAATACTGAAATGGCCTAGGCAACAACTAGTATTAAAACACTTAACCAGTGTACTTCCACTTATCACAGAAAATGTTATTAAACAAGGGAAAGAAACACAATTAGCTACATGCAACTGCTTTTAAAATTTCCTCAAACTAATATGAACAACCTCATCAATCTCTCAGATGCAGAAAAAGCAGATGGTTAAATGCTCCATAAAATTTCGCTATTTGAAAAAGCAACCCAAATACCACAAGACCAATTTCATATTCCTCGGTTGGGTTTGGGGCAAGTGGGTGATATCAGACTGTCATACGCAGCAAAGTTATGGTTAGACATATCTGTGATATATTTGATCACAATTTTCTAACAGACAAACAAACAAAACTATTAGAAGCAAGCAAGCTGTTCTGTGATCATCGATGCTAGACAGGTTTTCTGGTAGAATATGGGTTTGTTTCCGACAATGCTCAACACAGGAAACTGCTGGAAGAAACTGAGTTGCAAAACAGTCTGTTAAAAGCTTGTAATGAAGTCAAAAGGAAGGTAAGTGAGAAAATCCCGTTATGGTGCAGGGGGTCCTGTGCGGAAGGGGGGAGTCCTTCCTATGAAACCACTTGTTTAGAAAGGGTAAAGTAGTTTTAACAGTCAGACACATTAGGAAAGAAAAATGTGGACCAAACCATTTCATTATTCATCACTTAGGAAGACACACCTATGTAAAGAATGTTTCTCCACCTTAGTCCTAGGAATTATCTTCAGTTTTGTCCAGAAACCAAACCCTACCAAGAAATACAAACCTGCATGTGATTTAACAAAATGGTTAATTGACAAAAAAAAAAGTTCTGATAGGTATAAACTAAGGAAATTTAGGGTTATATCAGGTTATTTCTTTTGAGGCAGAGAGAAAAAAGAGACAGAAAAGACAAGGAAAAGGCTTAAACAATAATTAAAATTAATAATTAAACTACTAATAAAAATATAAATAACAGCCAAACATGCTGGGCAAGGGGTACACCTGCCTCTGTCAGCCTGAGCAGCAACATGGGCATGTGGCATGGGAAGCTGAGTATTTAAGTGCCATATCAAACTTTAAATAGTAACAGGGAAAAGCAAACACCATCTCCTTTTCCCTGTCTTCATTGCCATTAACCCCTTACATTTCGCAGTGAGGTGCTTCTTACGGTGAGGAGAAAACTGCAAAATAGGGGCTGCAAGGAAACTGGGAGATCTGGTGATTGGTGTTTGCACGGTGACCTCAGGGATGGAAGATTTGAAAATTAAATCACCACCTTCGTAATTACTTTTTAACACTAATGATAATGTTGGTGGCTGACTTCTATGCTTCATGCAGCAAAGGAAGCCGAACAAAGGAAGCAGAGTGGCAGTCTTCCAGCTTCCAGCACAAGCAACTGCAGTCCTTCCCGGCTGCTGAAACAACACCAAAGCTTCCACACAGACATCTTTAAATGCCTGCGGGCTCCTTCAAAAATGCTGTGTTTTGAAATGCTTTCTAAATTTAGAGATGTCTCAGACAAGTCAAGAGAGGGGGCACTTAGGAAGGGGATGAAACCAACCACCAGTGTAACCAATCTCATTTCTCTATTATTTCCTCAAAAATTAGGTATTCCTCAGGATTTATTTGGGGCTCCCCCCCCCCGCCAGACAGTCCCTTGAAATGGCATGAGCTATAACAATTGCCTGGGCTGAACCACTTTTTTTGTGTGTACCTCTTTTTCATTCCACAAATAAGTCTTCCAAAAAAAATCTATAAAGCCCTCAACTTGCACCCATCCATACCCTTTAATATATTTTTATTTTTTTTTTAAAGGTCCAATCTGTCCCTTCCCTGTCAAACACACAGAGTTTCCATACAAAGCCAAATTCAGCTGGAGACAACCTGAAGATTCATTCTTTCCCCTCTCAGACCCTATCCTTTCACCCATACTGGATAACATTTCTTCAACAATGAAGCACAAAATGTCTTAAACCCTGTTTTCTAAAGGGCTGCAGCACACAGGAATGTGTGATTCATTGACTTGTAATGAAACTTATGCTTATAAGGTTACTTCTGAAGGTAAAATGAGAAACTCAGATTACAGTAACAGCTTGAAAATTATTTTTCTGAGTTAGACCAAAACACCATGAACATCACATGCACTGTTCCCCCCACCCCCCCAACCAGTATAAACCTAATACCATTGTGACAAGTGGTTTATTCCTCCCACGGCAAGAAGTCTTTCAGACCACAGGTAAAGCATTTCTCATACAGTAAATCTGCCAAAGCTAGAGGAGTATTCACAGAAACTCCAAGGACAAGCAGACAGCAGTGTTTTGCTATAAATAACAACATCAGAGGCCAGGAACCAGAAAAATCTATATGAAACTCATGCATTTCATACCAGTTTCCAAAAAGTCCAGGTAAGTGGCTTTTCACTGTCCCATTTCCTAAAAATAACTTGCTCCGTTCAATAGGGAAAAAACCCCAAAAATACAGATGAGTAAAAGGTGACATGGGGTTATCACTGAGACATCTGACAGCAAAAACAA